GGAAGTAAATGTGACCAAAGTTTCTAAAGAGGCAATAATTCCAAAGAATCGTGTTGGGATCATTAGTACCGAGGAATAAATGTATTCTCTTACTCTTTCCCCAACACTCTTGAATGGTTCGACGGAAAATGATAAAGCGATTTCTTCTTGACTGGTCATTAGACATGAATAAGCAGCCAATGAAAATTCAAGGATCAACAACCAATTTTTAATGTTAGCGCTATCGTTAGAAACCATCTTTTTATGCCCATACAACTAGATTTTTTTTAAAAACGTGATGTCGAAATAAATGTTCAGTTGTATATCGTAAATATAATTTCGTCTTTGGTACAATATCTAATTTTTTCGCGTAAACTTGTCCATTGCATGTACTCAAATCAAATACGTAGAATTTATTTATTTATTTGCATCTTCATGAAACATTCGTACTATTAAGTTTGTCGGATTATAATCATGATTTCCCGAAGTCCATCGTTGGGCCCTGTTATTCGAGGTCTTGCTTTGTTCTTCAATGAATAAATTGTTATTACCAATGAAAGCCAGGTTGAAAGCTTGATAATTTCTTCAATTAATAAATTATCGCCATTTACTTCATCGAGCTGTATATTATTGGATTCGAAAATAGGATCGAACGAATCAGAAAATCCTTCATCGAATTGTTGAGAACTAGAGACTTGATTCGCAAAAAGTTGATCTGCATTACTATTAGATTCAGATAATAAAGATTGTGCCTCCTGATTAATATCGCTTGTATAAATAACTTTATTTTGGTTTGTAATGTCTTTGAACGCCTTCATTATTAAAAGATTTTGTTAAAAAATTTTTTTAAAAATTAATTAATCTTTCTTATTATAATATTTTTATGACATAGCATATGAGCGAAAATTTTTGATGGAAATGTTGTGATTATTACAATTAAGTGATACACGTAAAGATTTATTAAAGATTTATTTTAAATAATTTATAAATATATATTATATTATACAGCTTCATGATCAGTTTCATAAGCAATTTATTGCTAAGAAAAGTGACTGGCCAATTAAACACGATGATTTATAATTGTTATGCGGTTTCATAAACGGCTTCATAAGCGATTCATAAGCGGATTAATAGTTAAGGCAAGCCATTGACCAATCAAATAAAATTGTACGTACAATTCAATTTTGCGGAGATCGATTTC